ATGTGTTCACTGTTTGATTGTGTAATTACGTGTTACGCACTGGCAATGCATGCCGGTAGATGGTAATACAGGAAGTAAAAGAGATGGTCTTACCGCACACAGTGGTCCCGCGTACTTATTCAGATTCAGAGTAAGAATCACACACCCTCCTGTTTCCTGTCCGCTATCTTCAGCAGTTCCGCTCAGAAGGACGTTTCTCTCTCGTCTTCCCGACATACCGGACCTTCGCCCGCTTTCTCCCAGAGTACCGCTCACCCTGGTGTCAAGTAAGCCCCCCCACACATTCCATAGTGCGATCACGTTCCCACCGGGGAAGTGCACATCACTAACTCCTCTCTCTCTCCCTTTCTCATTCCAGACCCGCCGTTCCGCGAGAATCGCCGCGTTTATATTCACTGTGCACTAGTAGATAAATTCACCTTTGCATTGAATAATTTTGAATTCAGTGTCTGCTTCTGGGTTTATTCCTGTGCTGCCTGTGAAAGTACGATCTGGGCAGACATGGACCCAGCAGACTTACTCTGGACCGCAGTGAAATCACAGGGAGTTTTATTAGGGACTCATGAGCAAGTGTTGCAATATATGGATAAGCAGTGCTAGGCGATCAGTGGCACACAGAAGGAAATGTACACGGTCGTTAGAGACATCCATGCCGCACTCACTCCCGCAACTTCGGCAGCCTCTGCCGGAGCCGTCCTAGTATGCAGGATACAAGAAGTTGCAGGAGTGAGTGCGGCATGGATGTCTCTATCTTTAAACCTCGTTTGAGGAGCCAGTTGCACTAGCCCTTTGCATCGATAATCAATTGAGTGAAAGAGAAGCCGAAAAGGAACCCAGAGTTGGTGACCCTCGGTCAGGGCTCCTCGCCCCACCAGTGTCTTTCGCGCTGGAGTCATTAGAACCGCCCAGCCCTCTACCTTGTTACCAGGGGAGCCTGTTGAGCCCATGCAAATCAGGCATTTTCGCGCTCAGGAGTGTCTGTACTGTGTTCGCCCTGGGAATTTCATTGCCGCCTGCCCGCCTGCCAAAAAGCCCTGGCTGGCAGTAGTTTCAGGGGTACTGGTGGGCAGCTCAGGTTAGTCTAAACCCAGCCTCCTGCTTCCTGTGAGACTCAACTAACTTCAAACCTCTCACGCTCTCCAAGCCTTCGTGGACTCTGGTTGTGAGCAGTTTTAATAGATGGGTCTACCCCTCAGCTGGCTCTCCCATTGGTGTCCCTTGAACCTCCCATCCCAGCCTTGGCCCTCAATAACAAGGTTTTTGCTCACATCACTCACAAAACCAAACCCGTCCAGCTTATCATATAAAGCAAACATCGGGAAACTATAACCTTCTTCACATTCCCATCCCCAGACACTCCACTTATCCTCACTTTTCCCTTGCTAAAGAAGCACAACCCGCACTTGTACTGGACTACGGGCAATGTATTTAATTGGAATTTAACTTTTGATTCCCTCTGTCTTTATCCAGCTCTGCCTTTGACTCCCAGTTCCACTAAGCCCACGGACACAACCTCTCCCGATCTCTCGCTCGTTCCTAAGGAGTATCATGACCTTCAAGGTGTTTTCAGTAAGGAAAAAGCACTCTCCCTGACACTGCATCAACGCTCTTCCCTCCAGCCCAGTATAACCTTTCTTGGCCGAAGAGGCCAAGAAAAATATATTGAAAATATGGAAAATGGATATGGAACAATTCTTCCATCTTCTCAACACACTTTTATTTTTTCTTCCACGATTGCCAAAAATCACAAAACCCCTAAACAAAATGGAAAAAACCCCCAAAAACCTGTGACTGTCTTTTACCCTTAGCTCAGGTTGAATTAGACTCCAGGCAAAACATCTGAGGTCTCTATCCAGAAGATCAGAGTTCTAGGAACAATTAATATACCGAGTAGCATTTCAAAACTCCCGTCCATTATGTAGAGGATTTGAGCTTGAGAAGGACACACATACTACCAGAGCAATTTTATTTCTTGTTGACATGTATGTTTATAATATCTTCCACCAGCCTTACAGTTGGTAGATGACCTACTTTACCACCTCTTTACAACCAAACCTGACTACTTTAGATTTTACCTTCTGCATCTGGTCTAGTTATTCCTTCAGCACTTTGTACTTATATTCTCATTCCTCTTCTTTCTGATGTTTGTCTCCATTCGGATTGCCACATCTATCACAACTGTACCCTTCAGCTTGACATGCTTTGTTAAGGACAGGACCCAAACGCAGGACTTTCCTGGTGAACCACAGTAAATTTAGTTACAGTGTAAGAATAACCAACTTGAAGCAAACAGTGTCCCAAACAGCAATTTCCTCCATGGCAAAATTCCTGACTCCCGTGTGGTGCTCTGTGTAAGAGTAATCCAAACAGCAGTGCTCACTCCTTTCGTTTCTCCTCCCGTGGTAACCCAACAAAACAAGACGTAATGATTTTACAAGAGTTCTTTGCAACATGACGGACTGTGACACACTTCAGTTTTTATGAGCTGGAATTGTACTAATAGATACACTGAACGATCCAGCGTTGATCGAAGCCCAGCCACACTGTTAAATAGCTGACTGTTGACAAGGCTCGTTGTCAGCAGGTGAATCCCGATTGCGATCATGTGTGGTTGGCCTCAACTGACAACCACTCAATGACAACCCATGACACAGCTCCTTGTGCTTGGTCCTGGTCCAAAAGTGCTTTACTGGTCGGTGAAACGTGACATTACACAGGACCTTAGTCCTGTTTTCAACCACCATTGGTTTCTGTACAACCACTTATTCTCTGAGTGTATACTGTCCCAGCTTGCATCTTACCTCCTGCTACTATGTGTTGGCTAGTCTGTGGGTCACCTTTACACAATCTACAACAACCAGCTGTAACCCAGGCAGCATGGACAGACAGGAAGAGGAACCCACAGCACTGCAGGAGTCAAAGGACAGTGCACAGAACTAAAGCCCAGGAAGGACACCAGCCAGCACAATCAGGCCACCAAGGGCTCTGAGGCACAGGCCAACCCTAACCCCATAGGCCATAGGTCTTGTGTTGATGTTATTGCACTAGGCTTCCAGGCACTTCTTAATCAGGGTGGATGTTGGTCTTCTATTCATCAATAGTTCTCACATCTGTTGGATATAAAAACGCTTAAAGAATGATTTAGCTTTTAACAACACGTAATACACAAAACCAAGCAAGCAAAAAAACAAACAAACAAAGAGGGGATCAGAAAATATAAAAATACTTTTCTCTGTGTTTACATATAGTTTTACACAGTGATCTAGTTTATTTAAATTATTTATTTATTTAATTTATTCTGAAGTTTCGCTTGTAACAAAAAATCCCCCTAAGTATTCTGTAAATAAAACTGCACCATTTAATTAAGTAATTCATTAATTTTTAAAGTCTGTTTCACTTCCTGTGTGTTTGTATGAGGATGCAAAAATCTGAAATGTGAAGACTAAGAAAAGACTTTTTATTCTTTAATAAATGTAAGCCCAACTCAAATGCCCATTTTTTGTTGCATGACACTTTGCTCAAATCTTGTGGTTTACAAAAACCCTGTTGTGGCACTTTTTTTCAAGCTTGAATTAAGTTATAATTTTGAGCAATTCTCTAAACCAGGGAAATTTATGGTCAATTAAGTCTGTAATATAGTGTTATTACAGGGCATCAGAGAGGGGAACGCCATTGGCAGATAGCTCACTGTACAATGAAAGAGCCACAAGAGGGCAATGGCGGGTCAGCCTTTTGCACAGTTTGAATGACTGGCAGCTGTTCAGATTAAGCTGAACTTTTAGATGACAGAAAGCAGATCTGTGGGATTCACCAACCATAATTCAGTAAATCAAAGTGGCTTCACTCACAGTGAGCCTTATTTCACTACTGCGACCCCAAGGTGCATTTCACATATTAGGGTGAATTACAATAACAGCGTTTGGCTTTGTTGCTCCAGTGACTAGCCTAGAAAATTGCTTAAGGTTATCTCTGGGCTACCTTTGCGGAATAATAGAATTACATAATCATTATGGGCCCTAATTGCACAGTGCAGAAAGCCTATTGGATTTGCATTGTATTGCACATAATAAGTGCAGCTGTTTTGCTTGGGGGATAAGAAAGCACTAAAAATAGACCTATTAGAAAATATTCCCATATGGTACATTAATGTAAGCTTTTTGCAGTGCATGAATAAGAAGAAAATTTTAATGGATGGGAGTGGTTTTAAAATCCATAAAACAAAAAGGAAAAACATTCAGTTCCTGTAGAAGTAGCAGTACAATATAAAATATATTTTACTACTACTATTATATATTAAGCTTTCTTTATAAAGCAAGTAAGACCAATACAATTAAGTTACAGACTAATTTTAACGACACCAACAAGCAAAAAATAGAAAAAGATAATAAATACCAGTGAAAGACTAAAAGGACTAAAAGCAAATAGATGAAAAAAATGACAACATGGAATTTGCTTGTATGTGATGTCACGTGACATGATTGTATTGTTAATAGTTATGTGTCAATAAATATGCATTTTATTCAGTAACTATTTCATATAGTTCTGTAGTGCTTTAAAAACAGAATAAACAACTTGGAATGGCAATTCCAAAATAAGGTTGTGGCAAGAAAAATCTAATGTACTCTATATAACTATGCAAAAACGTATCATTTGATTGCATATAAGATGTATCCATCAATACATTAACTGAGATGTAAATGTAGTAGGAAAAAAAAGGCAACATTTGTATCTGAGATACAGTGGAGTACAAATACTTTGCATGGTGAATTGTATTTAGGTTGACTTAAATAGCTCACTTTGGCAGCACTTGTGACCTCACCATTTCATCTTCTGCTGATGAAATGAGAGTGGACGGATTTAGTTGAACAGAGAGAGAGAGAGAGAGAGAGAGAGAGAGAAGGGGAAATGAAGAGAGAAAGGGAGGAGGGGCGATGCTCTTACTACAGTGTGTGTGTGCTGAGGAGGCTGTCAGTGAGGATAGTGATACAAAGGATGCTGAAGCTGTGCTGTTGGCATTATACCTTGTGTCACACTGAAGCAGCCTGCTCCTGGCAGAAAAAAAGAACAACACAACATCTGTCTGAACACCTCAGGTAAGTCCTCACACCCTCTTTCATGTATTTTAATGAGAAGAAGAAAATGACCTTGGAAAGCTTTTAGTTTAGACTTTTTTTTTCATTTTGTTTCTTTTACTTCTTCCTTGCTTCACTGCTACCTCTGAATTTTGCGTAGTCTCTGGTTTACTTTAAATGTTATTCAAGCAGTCTTTAAAAAATGAGTGCTAACTCAAAACACTTAAATTTAGATATTTTCCTAAAAGCTCTGATTTTTTTCTTTTAAATAATAAAAGAATGTAAAAGCTCTGACACCAGTTTATAAGTTTAGAAAATTCTTTATCCATATTAGCATATTTTGGATTCATTTTAATACAGTTATATGACATTACATTAATATAGACATGATAAATATTTCAAAAATATTTCTTTATTTTTTGTATTTTGCATTTGACTAAACAAATTACCTAATGCCTGTACTACAAATTCTTGTTTTTGCTGGCTGACATTTGACTTAACAATGGTGTAGCTGTGATAAGCTAAAACCAGTCAGTCGGGCTCTGTAATATGTAAAAGCTTAGTAGACAAGCAGTCAAGTGTGTTTTATCCTCTTTTACACTAACTACTCATGACAAGCCTTTCCAGTCATGGTTTACATTAGAGGATGGAAACTGCTTTAAAAATTTTGCTTTAAGGGCAACACTGTTTTTATCCGTTATTTATTATTTTAGTTTAGTGTTGGACAGAGCCGGCATAAATGTTCCACCATTTTTAATGAATTATTATATATGATATATAATATAATAATATATAATATATAATTATATTATTATATTTGGTATGTTTTTTAGGTGGTAGGGGCTTTCCCTTCAGTCTGTACTCCACTTCAGAATTTTCTTTGAGTGATTTCTGAAATGTTAAACATATAAACACAGATAATGATCATTTTGATAATGATTATGGTAGACAGCTGCAGCAGTCAATAAAATGATGCAGGCACTGTAATTCCACACTTCATTGAGTTAATTTACTCTATTTTATCACTATAACCTCTAGATAGTCTCCTATACACTATGGGTGTTAGCTAGCTGTATCATGTTAACTTAGCTGAAGTTACCTATTCTACTGTCTTAGCTAGTTTTCTTATCTTTTAATATTCTTGATACTGTAATGATAAGTTTGAGAAATCAATCTAGAGTTTGCAATAATCTCACAGCAGTTGAGAACTGGGCTGGTTCTGCCATCTATTTGCAGAGGGAATGAACCCACAACTTAGTGTGTAATATGCAGTGACACTGAAGAAGTCAACACTGAGGACACAGAGATGAAAGGAGAGGAGGAAAATTTATGTAGAATTGTGTAAAACTGATAAGCAATACTATAACTTTCTTTAATCTTCGTTCTATTGTCTCTAACAGTTGGGTTCATTGAGCCCCCTCTTCTTTCCCATGCAGCCTATAATCCCTGCTAAAAATCCCTTGAAAAGCCTTGAAATCAGGTGCATTGGCTGCAGTTTGAACGAGATGGATGCCTGTGGATTACAGGGTGCTGATCTCTCAGGTCCTGACTGATGTGGCTAATGTGCTTGAGGAGAAATGGTCAACGTTAGCTCTATACACCCTGACTGCTGAAGTCAGGGGAAAACCATCTTACTGCTTGGCTTTTTTCTTGCGTCTGTGTTTTTTGGGACATTTCCATTCGATACCTAATTGTCCTGAAAGCTGCTTTTTGCAGTAAAGCAGTTTGGTGATAAAAGAGTTGTCAATATAAGGTCAGTTACAGCTATCTTAACCAGCAATACCTGCTTTTTAATGCTTGCACCTTTAATGCAGTGGAAACATTTTCATTCACTTGTTTTTTTGTATCTACAAACGTAATGTAAGTCAGACATTCTAAACTTTGTTTCACTTTTTGGTCTCCACCATCTATTGAGGGATCTGACAGCAGTTTTGTTTCTCTTTTTTGTGAGCAGTATTTTAAGGAATACATTTAGAGTGGTACATCACAGGATTTAAATACTTAGACAAACAACAAGACAACACAGAGCTGGTGAAGAAAAGAGGGGAGGTGTAAATGTGAGTGGGTGTGGTTAATGTGAGGATGCTCATTTCTGTTCAGTCTGGGATGAATGGAGTGAGGAGGGGGAAAGGTTCAAAGTTCAAGTTTGTTTTATTTATATAGCACATTTATTTACAACAGCAACATTGACCAAAGCGCTGGACAGAAGTACAAAATAACTTATAACTTATTATTACCAAATACCTCTCGTACTGTCTTAAAAAAGAAAAAAAGAAAAGGAGGTGAATATTATCTTCTGTTAATGATCATCGCATATGTATATGTATATACAGTGGTGTGAAAAAGTGTTTGCCTCCTCATAGTGTTTTGCATATTTTTCACACTTATATGTTTCAGATCATCAAACAAATTCTTATTATTAGACAAAGGTAACCTGAGTAAACACAAAATGCATTTTTTAAATGATGAATTCATTGATGAATTCAGAAAAGTTATCCAAGCCTACTGCTCGTGTGTGAAAAAGTAATTGCCCCTCTTGTTAAATCATGAATTAACTGTGATTAACCACATGCTTTGGAAAGCTGAGCTCAGTTTCATTAAACACATTCAGGCCTGACCTGCTGAGTCAAGAAATCACTTAAATAGAACATGTCTGACAAAATAAAACAGGCTAAAAGACGTCAAAAAGCAACACTTCATATCACGCTTTAAAGAATACCTGAGAAACAAAGTCACCGACATCTGTCAGTCTGAAAAGGGTTACAAAGATGTTTCTAAGGCTTTGGGACTCTATTGAACCACAGTGAGAGTCATTATACACAAAACAGAAAAAAGAACAGCAGTGAAGCTTCCAATAAGTGACCGGCCTACCAAAATTACTCCAATGGCACTCAAACCAGGAGGTCACAAAAGAACCCAGAACAACAATAAAGGACTGCAGGCTTCAGATTTCTCAGTTAAGGTCAGAGTTCATGATTCAACAATAAGAAAGAGTCTGGGCAAAAATGTCATCCATGGGTTCAAGGAGAAAACCAGTCCTGACCAGAAACAACATGAAGGCTCATCTCACATTAGCCAACCCCTCCCCCAAAAAGAGCCAAAAAGATTTGACTCCCACACAGCATTTCAGAAAAGGAATATCATACCAATAGTAAAATATGGTGATGGTAGTGAGATCTGAGGCTCTTTTGCTGCCTCAGGACCTGGAAGACTTGCTGTGGTAAATCGAACTATGGATTGTGCTGTCTACCAAAACATCTTGAAGAAGAATGGCACTGTTCAGTCTGTTCATGACCTAGTTCTGCAGCAGGACAATGATTCAAAACACACCAGCAAGTCCACCTCTTAATAAAAACAAAATGAAGACTTTGGACTGGCTTTTTAAGTCCTGGCGGTCCCAACCAGTTATTAGGTTTAGGGGGCAAACACTTTTTCACATAGGGTCATGTAGGTTTGGATTTTTCCCCCCTTCAATAATAAACACTTTCACTTAAAATTGTGTGCATTTTGTGTTTACTAAGATTCTTGAAAAAGTCCTTTTTGACCAGCTTCAGACATTTTTTGTTTAACTTGCATGATACGTAGGATAGTTTCAGTCATGTTTCAGATCACATTACAGCACAGAGACTAGACAACTCTAGAGTTCTGGTCTCTGTACTCATATACAGTGCGTATTCTGACACTGGCTCTGAGTACGGGCTGATAACAATGATGGACTTGCAGTTGTGTTTATTGGTTTTCAGGAACAAGAAGTGACAATATTTGGATGACAGGGTGGACTTGAGCTAAAACTAGCTAGCTTGGTTAGTAAGCAATCCATAAACTATACAGGTGCAACACAGAGACAAAAAATGTAATGCTAATAAGTGCACAAATTTTTCACAGCAAGCCAAAGTATTAGTCAAAGTATTATTTCCTAATAAAGTTAAGATAGATAATAGAGTTAAGTATAAAACTTAAGCATAAAAAATGTGAATGCGGCATGTTGTATAAAGGATTTTGAGTGCTCTAGGAGAGTACAGGCGATCGTGGCTCAAGAGTTGGCAGTTCGTCTTGTAATCGGAAGGTTGCCGGTTCGAGCTTCAGCTCCGACAGTCTTGGTCGTTATGTCGTTGGGCAAGACACTTGACCTGTTGCCTACTGGTGGTGGTCAGAGAGCCCAGTGGCGCCAGTGTCTGGCAGCCTCACCTATGTCAGTGTGCCCCAGGGCAACTGTGGTTACAATGTGTGTGAATGGGTGGATGACTGAATGTAGTGTAAAGTGCTTTGGGGTCCACAGGGACTAAGTAAAGCGCTATACAAATACAGGCCCTTACCATTTAGAGAAGCGCTATATAAGAATCATTCCATTTACCAAAATGGTTTCTTTTACCAGGCTGTATACATGCTTTTTAATGCTATTTTAGTTGTGCAGTTTAACATGGGCATCTATGGGGACTGACTTGCTCTTGAAACTGACATCAAATGCCCATTAGAAGAACTGCAGTTTTTGGCACAAAGGCCCCAGAGGTTGCCTTGTGGGTCAGAGAATAAAGGTGCTTTTGCGGATATCTGGAGATATTATAGTTGTTATAATTTAAATATTAAACAATAATACTGACTAACTAAAAAAATCTTCCACCCTGAGAAGCTTGTATTTCCTAAAATCCAATGCCTCGAGAGCATAAGTATATGTCAACCTGCCTATGAACACAGAAAAATAAACAAACTAAAAAAATAAAACCCTAGTAGGACTACAGAGATGGTAAATAAAAACAAAACTGTTGAGTATTGATACCAGCTGAAATTAATGAAAAGATATGTTTTTGTTATAGTTCCAGCCTTTAATGATAAAATAATTGTAAATTAACCTACCATTAGTAGAGTTCCCTTAGAGTTTGTTGCAACCTGACTTATGATTTCTACATGCAGACATTTTATTGCAAAGTCTAAGAGACAATGTTACAGTTTTACTCTAAAACTGATTACAAGAGAAATGCTGCAGCATTAGCTTATGGCAGAGTATCTAAGACATCTTCATT